AAAAAAGGGCCAGAGGCTGTCTGCCAGCTGGGACCAGAGAGGAGCTGTTGTCATCGAAAAATCTTGTCTGGGGTTTCCAGAGGGAGATCTGGAGAACTTCCACTTCCACTGGTGCTGGAGGGCGAATCCCTGGGAGCAAAGATTACTCTTTGATTAAACAAGCACAAAGCCTCCAAGGACTGCTCTTCCCTACAGCTCTGCTGGGTTTTTGCTTTCCTGGGTGCAGCATTAATGCCTTCTGTTTTGAACAAAGCTGAACGGCTGAAAGACAGTGAAGTTCACCTCAGAGAAAGAGAAAAAATAGAAAAAAAAAAAAGCTCTTTCCTATTATCTTTGCCTTAAATTTTAGTTTTCTTTGGCTGCTGAGGACTGTGACAAGCGCATGGTTTGTTGTGCCCACTGAGGGAAAAGCTGCTGTCCTAGGATGAAGCAAGCACATCTCAGTGGTGCAGCCGTGTCCACGTTTCCTTGCATTCCCCTACCCAGGCAGGTTTAAAAGGACTGAGAAATGGTCCTTGGATCTCTTTTGGAAGAGGCAGTGTCCCAGAGGAGGAGGTGGCACTTGCTGGCCAAGTGTGCAGTCTCCCAGTGGCACTGCAGTCACTCCATCCCTCACTGCACTGATCCCAAGGGAGCTGGACTCACTCCCTGCTGCACAGTGAGCATTTCACTGTGCCCTGAGCTGTGTGGAGAAAGGGGAAATAACCTGGGAGCAGGAATGAGGCTGGGGAATGAAGCCCAGGGTGGCCATCCGTAGGTCCCAGTGGCTGCAGGCAGCTTCCCAGTACGATGCTGGAGCAGCGCTGTGGCTGAGCTGCCTCACGGCCCCCAGGCTCTGGTCCCTCACTAATTACTTCCAGGCCTGTACTCCTGACATTTGCAAGCTCCTGATTAGAGCAACGAGGGAGAAATCTCGGAGGGAGAGGGAGGCCAAACTGCACCACTAATAAAAGCTGAGATTGACAATCGGCTGGGAGGTGCAGGGACTCGTCCTTGCCGGCTCAGTTTCTTTCTGAGCCTCTGGGATGATGAGAGAAGGTCAGGGCTTGTTAACGTCACCGTGAGGAGCAGGATCCACCACTGCCATATGCCTGGTGCCCCCAGGGCCTGTGCCAGCCTTGAGTCCCTCTCAGCAAGGTGATATTTTTAGCCATGGACCTGAACTGAAGCCACCCTGTGCAACCTCAGGTCTGCAACTGTGTCGGTGCAAAAGTGCCTCTGCCTCTCTGTCTGCTGAGTTTGTGCTTCACGCAAATTTTGCAGCCTCTTGGATTTCAAGTTCTTTTCCCTTGTTGTTTTCTCTCCCACATCCCATCTCGCTCCCTTCATTTGATGGAAGTGCAGTCACTGGGGAGGTCCCGTTAACCCCAGCAGTGGGACTGGGACATGTCTGTGATGGGGTGGCCCAGAATACCAAGCCAGGAGAGGCTGACCTGGCTGCCTGCAGCGCTGAAGGGTGCCCAAAGTGGCCTCTGGGATGAGCGTGGTTGAGCCATGTCTCCTGCACAGCCATTCCAGGCTGTTGGGTCCCTACCCAGTTACAAAAATATGGATCACATTATTTTTCCAGCCCTCTCTCTCTGCCCTCCCTGATGCCCCATATCCTCTTACCTGTCTGTAGCAGCTCTGTCTGTCCATTTATTCCCTGCCTTTGCATCTGTTCGTGGATCCATGGCTCTCTCAGAATCTCAGAGTCTCTTTGTGAGGCAGACAGGCTTTTTTCCCCTATAAATCTTCCCTCTCCTGGATTGCTCTGGCTCTGGCAGGCTTTGTGCTACACGCACTCTATGTCTACAGCTTCTATCCCAAGGGGTAAACACCATTTTACCCAGCAGAGCTTGTGGTCCCTGCAGCATCCTTGTCCCCTGGAGCTAATCCTGCTGCTGGGTGAGGCTCAGCAGCGCCTGTGGTCTCACTGCTGGGGGCTGCCATGGGTTTGTGCTGGCTCCTGCTGCTCCTTCTCTTCCAGCAGACACAGCTCCTCCGTGCCAGAGTGGAGCAGCTCAGGAAGGAGACGGAGTGTCCGTCCTCTCCCATCCTCCCCCTCTCAAAGAATCCCTGGCATGGAAGCAGCCAACCTGCACATTCGGGGTTAAGCCAACTTTCCAGCAGCTGAAGAGCTTTCTGATGGAAAACTCAGCCCTGCCTTTCTCTGTGCTTCCCTGGGCTCCCAGGCTGTCCTGGTTATCCAAGCTGCAGTGAGCATCCCTCTGGTGCTGGGTTCCAACACCCTTCTCTGCAGTGCCAGCCCATGGCTAGTGGGATTTAGGGTCACTGAGTCCCACTGCCACATACAAGGGACCCGCTCTGCTGAAAATTGCAGTTGGGATCACTGAAAACACCTTGCAAAACCTTTTTATCTGTTCTAACAGCTGTGTTTGGATCTCTGGATGAGGACAGGGTCCTGAATTAGCTGAAACTCCTTTTTTGGTGGCTATTTCCTTTCTCCAGCCCCTGGAAGGGACAGGTTCTCTGGGATACCTCAGTGGAGGAGGGAGATGTCCTTTGGAGGAAGCACCCAGCCAAGGTCCAGCCTGGTTTGGGTGTGAGGAACTGTGTGAGGAACACTGGCAGCACAGGGTTAGTTTTCTTCTGAAAAAGATGAGTCTGGATGGTCACCAAGACCTTGGTGCCCTCAGCTGCTCTTTGAGGAGATAAATGGTGGTCTGTGGGTGGAAATTTGGAGGAGGAAATTTGTTGGAATTTACTGTTTAGGGTGGTGGGGTGGAAAGGCCTTGGGCTTCCTAATTCAAGGATCTGAGTGTCAGGGAGCAGGGACAGGAGAGGCAGAAGCTTTGGAGCTGTCTTGCACCATCCCATGGGGCAAGGATGTGGGGACAGGACCCTGTTTCTCACAGGAAGAGAAAAGCGGAGCCAGTCCCCCACAGGGATATGCATCAACAAGTAGATGCGGGGAAAGATGCTGGGGTGGGTGAGGGTATGGGCAGCCTGCTGCTCTTGAGGGGCCGTGGGGAAGGCTCGGGGGTGCGTGGTGCGAGAACAGCCCCCTCTGCAGCGGGGCTGAAGCGGGTGAAGGGTTGGGGGGGGGTCCCTCGTGGCAGCGCGGCGCGGCAGGGGTTAATGTGCGTGTCCTCCTGCGCATCCCGCCCCGCTGCCGCCCGCCCGCCCGCCCGTGTGCGGGGCTCGGGCCGTGCGGGAGCCGAGGCGCCGGGCAGCGCTGGAGCCGCTGCCATGACAACCCCGGGGATGCTGCCGGCCGGGGCCGGGGTGCTGCCGCCGCCGCCCCCCCGCGCCCCCCCCGCCCCACTGCGAGCCTGAGCAGCCACCGGGACCCTCTGAGCAGAGCCGAGGAGCATCGGGGACGTCGCCTGCAGCTCCGCGGGGAAGTTTCGATCTTGCGACAGAACCGGGATATTGGGAGCTTTATATATATATTTTTTTTTTAATTTTTTTTTTTTTGTATTTTTTTTAAAATTCTCCTTTCCCTCTGTGATTTAAACAAAAGCACAAGAGCCGGAGAACAGCCCAGCCCCGGCCCGCTGTGTTCCCCCCTCCGGTGCCGATGCCGCCCTCCCCTTCCTTTCACAGACGCTCACGTTTCCTCCGTGGGTTATAAACTTTTGATGCCAGATCTCCGCAGCGCCTGCCCAGCTGCAGCTGAAAGTAGCGTCTCCAGCAGCCACACATCTGTGACCTTCATCTCGT